CTGTTTAGCTTCTCCTCAGATCATTGTGTAACCATCACTGCCATCCTGTTCCACACATTGTCATCACCCTACACCCAGTCAGCAGCCACTCCCCATTCCTTCTTCCCTCCAGCACCTGCTAACCACGAGTGTGCTTTCTGTCTCTATGGCTTTGCCTATTCTTGCTGAAAACATTTCAATTTGCCTATGATCTGTGAGCTCCTCACTCCGAGACTCCCTGCCTTTCCAGGCAGAACCAAAGTACACCATGTCAAAAGCAATGATAGGCGTTTGCAGTGTGTTGGTGATCCACGAAAGGAAAATCACAGAAGTGGGATAGAAATCCAGCTGCAGGCAAGACCTCAGGTCAATGAATCTTGTAAAGCAGTTGAACTGTTTCTTTCTACTCACCTAGGACAGTCAGACAGAAGTATGCAAAAGGACTGGGGCTGATTCTTTTCTGAATTGTCCCAAAACAGCAAGAGAACTTGAGTCCTAGCATTAAAGAGTTCAACATGTCTAGGTCAAAGACCACTGTTGTGTTGGAAGGATGTAAAACCCTGCTGCACAGGAGAGAATGTTTGGAGGGAGGATCCTGAGAAACACGAGGGACCGAATATTCCCCATCTACCCTCTAGAATAAAGAAATCTTATCATTCACCATCAGCCGTCTAGAGTAAAGAAAACTTGTCATTCACCATCTACCTTCTAGAGTAAAGAAATCTTATCATTTGCCACCTGCCCTCTAGAATAAACAAATCTTACCATTTGCCACCTACCTTCCAGAAGAAAACTTATCATTCGCCATCTACCCTCTAGAATAAACAAATGTTATCATTCACCATCTACCCTCTAGAATAAAGAAATGTTATCATTCACCACCTACCCTCTAGAATAGAGAAATCTTATCATTCACCATCTACCCTCTAGAATAAACAAATGTTATCATTCACCATCTACCCTCTAGAATAAAGAAATGTTATCATTCACCACCTACCCTCTAGAATAAAGAAATCTTATCATTCACCATCTACCCTCTAGAATAAAGAAATCTTATCATTTGCCATCTACCCTCTAGAATAAAGAAATCTTATCATTTGCCATCTACCCTCTAGAATAAAGAAATCTTATCTTTCACCATCTACCCTCTAGAATAAAGAAATGTTATCATTTGCCATCTACCCTCTAGAGTAAAGAAATCTTATCGTTCTCCATCTACCCTCTAGAATAAAGAAATCTCATCATTCACCATCTACCCTCTAGAATAAAGAAATCTGATTAAGGACATTTTCAAAGTTATGTTCATATCCATAACAATATGAATGGTTACAATATTAGGTTTTATCTATACAGCATCTTCCAAGTTCCAGTTTGGTTGTGCTAGGCCAAACATCTGAGCCAGATTTCAGCAAGATCAAGCGGGAGACTCTGGCGTCTGTCGCTGATGACCTTCCCACCATACCAGGCCGCCAGCCTTTTCCATGGACCCCTGCGTGTGCCTCCTGACTCTCGGGTACGAATCCTGTGAACACACTGACCTCCGCCTTCTACATGACTGATCAGCACTATGAAATCTGCACAAATATGAATAAGAAATATACTGTCCCCACATTCCCTAAAATAAAACTGGGTCCTCGCCCATGGGCTTTTGCTGGATTATACTAGTAAAAGGCAGGTCTTACAACACACTTTCCACAGACTCACATCTCAGAGAAGATTCCTTCCACAGGCTCAGGGCCCTGAACACGCTGCTCTACTCTCAGGGCTCGGAGATACTCTGTATGTGGGTCTTCACCCCATCCAGGAGCCCTAATTCCTTCTTCCTCAGTTTTTCACACAGTAATTTTTCCCAGGACTGCCGTCTACTTTCCTCTGCCAGAAATTCCTCACTGGTTCCATGGCAATCTCCTCAGGGCTTCCATTTCATAAAATGGAAACGGAATTCTTCATATACCACAAAAAGGAAAATAATCATCCAAACACTATAAAATACAAACATCCATCTAGCAAAATATTTCTTAGTACATCGTGAATTCAAATACATATCATACAAAATGACTGAGGATTCTGTTAATTTTGAGCAATAGTGAGGTTTTCTCATAGTATCTTTTGATTGTTGACTGCAAATTGAATAACAATTGTGTCTGGGAATATAGTGTGTAAGAGAGCCATGCAGAAAGAGTTTTTTTCCTTTTTCGTCTACTAAATACTTAATATTTTATGTGCAATGCCTGCCTTAAATATGGACATTTCCTCCTTTGAGATATGTGTTCATAAATGTACACGCATATATTCACTCACATACACATATATACTGTACAGTAGCATCTACACATACAGTGTATACACACATAGTGTTTTTATGTGATATGTGAGTAATACACACGTAACACTTAGACTAAGTGTATGTATCCTATATATCCAAATATATGTGGATTCTTTGTTCTATACAAACTTTATAATATTTCTCTATACATCTGCACACATATATAATGTGTGTATATATAGTATTTGTACTATATATAGTATATGTACATGATAGGTAAATATATACACATATTAACATATATGTGTATACACACATATCAGAATCAGAATTTGTCTATACAAGTCCCATAACATGTGTAACTAGAATGTTTTACCATATGTATGTAATTGAGATTGAACATTAATGTGTACACTTTACTCATTAATTTTTTCTCTTAACCTATCAGATCTTGATAAACATTTGTTTGAATCACCAAATAAATATAACTTTATGTTATATAATTTCAAGAACCTATGGTTAGATGAATGAAGGTTTACATACCTTTGGCCAGGTGCGGGGGCTCACGCCTGTAATCCCAGCACTTTGGGAGGCCGAGGAGGGCAGATCACGAGGTCAGGAGTTCGAGACCATCCTGGCTAACATGGTGAAATCCCGTCTCTACAAAAAAATACAAAAAATCAGCCGGGCATGGTGACAGGAGCCTGTAGTCCCAGCTACTCGGGAGGCTGAGGCGGGAGAATGGCGTGAACGCAGGAGGCAGAGCTTGCAGTGAGCCAAGATGTCGCAGCTGCATTCCAGCCTGGGCAACAGAGCGAGACTCCGTCTAAAAAAAAAAAAAAAAAAGTTTACATACCTTTTGTCATCTTTAATACCTTCTTTAAAAAAATAAATGAAGATGAGTCTCACTCTGTTGCCCTGGCCGGTCTTGAACTCCTGGGCTCAAGAGATCCTCCCACCTCAGCCTGCAAAAACCCTTCATGCCCAGCTCTTACAACTTCATTAAAACACAAAATTTTAGTTTTTATTTCTAAAAGTTTTTGTATCATATTATATTTTATTGGATATTAATATTTCCAATAGATATTTTAATAGCATACCTTTCTTCACTTACCGATTGTAAATTATCATTTTATTTTGGATGGTACTATTGTGTTTCATGCCTAGGTGTTATTGGGGGTACTGAGCTATTTAACTCATCCTTCAGTGGGTGAATTACTCTTTTACGTACAGGGTAAAAAAATGAATAATTTGGAATAACTTCACCTATTTAGTTAAGTATTCATTCAATTATATATTTTCGAATGAAGATTCATTTATCCTCGCCTTTAGAGAAGACAGGTTCTAATTTCCCCGTAGCTGAACTCTGAGTACTGATATGTGTACATGCACACGTACTCATACGTGTGTGCTTCCGTGTGGTTGCATTCGTGTGTGCATGTGTGTGTGTGTGTGATTTTCAAATACTAGACTGTTTCCCACTTTCATCACTGCGGCATCTCATATTCTACGTTTTGGAGTCATTGATCTTTTTTTTTTTTTTTTGAGACGGAGTCTCGCTCTGTCACCCAGGCTGGAGTGCAGTGGCGCGATCTCGGCTCACTGCAAGCTCCGCCTCCCGGATTCCCGCCATTCTCCTGCCTCAGCCTCCCAAGTAGCTGGGACTACAGGCGCCACCACCACGTCCGGCTAATTTTTTGTATTTTTAGTAGAGACGGGGTTTCACCGTGTTAGCCAGGATGGTCTCCATCTCCTGACCTTGTGATCCACCCGCCTTGGCCTCCCAAAGTGCTGGGATTACAGGCATGAGCCACCGAGCCCAGCCTGTATTTTTTAATTTACTCCTATTTTTCAGTTTCTCATGATAGGTCAAGATTTGCATTTTGGCCAGGCACGGTGGCTCACGCCTGTAATCCCAGCACTTTGGGAGGCTGAAGCAGGTGGATCACCTGAGGTCAGGAGTTCAAGACCAGCCTGGCCAACATGGCAAAACCCCGTCTCTACTACAAATACAAAAATTAGCCGGGTGTGGTGGTGCGTGCTTGTAGTGCCAGCTACTCGGGAGGCTGAGGCAGGAGAATCGCTTGAACCCGGGAGGCGCAGGTTGCGATCAGCCGAGATTGCACCACTGCACTCCAGCCTGGGGGACAGAGTGAGACTCCGTCTCAGAAATGATTTGCATTTCATGCTTAAATGCATGCACCCTGGTGACTTAATTGCTTCCTCCCTAATGACCCCTAATGGCACTAGACACAAATGCTCTGTCAGTTTTAATTTTCTCTTTAACGTAGGTGCTTCTCCTTCTGACCAGCTTTCATTTCCCATTTTCTGCACATGACTGTGATAATCGGGGTGTTGATGAAATATTATGAGAAGTATCTCTCAAGGGCAGGAACAAACGGGTACTCCTGAGTGCAAACCTCAATCACAGGCCTTGATGGTGGGCGCCAGCATCGCCTCACGCCCCCACCTCTCCTGTCTTCACCTGCTCTGGAAATTACCCATGGCTGAGCCCCGTGCAGCTCCCAGGCACCACTGACCCAGCCCCCCTATGAGGAATGGAGTTCATGACAGGCTCCAAATGAGGAAACTGAGGCTCAGAGATGGGAAGTTACTGCCCAAGGTCACACAGGCAAGGGGTAACACATGAATATTTAAATAAAGACGAGATTTCCCCTCAAATCAGAGTGCTAACCCTATGTATTGTCCCAAAACCTTGAACGCAGGAGCGCAGGATGGGAACAGGAGTGTTTGAAAGAAAGGGGGGGCACCAAGAAGGCAGAGTCAGGCCAGTGTTGTTTCCAGGGAGACGGGGGCGGATGACCGTTGCGATGAGTAAATGAGAAGTTCGTGAAGGGAACTTTTTTGCATAGAGAAAACCCACACTCCGGTTCTGGGAAAAGGGTCACGATTCCTTCCCTTGTGTCCCTGTATTTCCGCTTTCTGCTCATTGCCACAGTGAAACTCAACTGGAACTGCACAGCCAGACGTGAGAGGAGTCTCTGCTGATCTGAGTCTGCCCTGCAGCCTGAATTTGCATCTTCCCTGAAGCTTCCCCAGGACTGGTGAGAAGACTGGCCGAGGTAGGTTCCCCACAAGGGTGTGTTTACGGGTGAGCCGAAGGAGAGAGCGGGACCCCACGGAGAGGCTCTGAGAGGAAGGAAGAACCGTCTGTTGCCTTCACCTCGAAGGGACCAACTCAGGAAGGCACCACGTCCATTTGCAGCTACATCCTGGCCCTCAGTGAGATGAGGACCGGTCGGGCAGACAGCGAAAGGAGATCAGGAGAGATGCCATGTGTGTCTGAAATATCGGCAGAAAGCCAGGTGCCTGTCTCAAAGGATGGTTCAAGATACGTGACTCACGACCTAAACGAAGAACGAAAACCATATGATCATCTCAATAGAGGCAGATAAAGCCTTCAAAAAACTCCAAGCCCTGGGAAAACAAGAGCCGGGCTCGTGGCGGGGTCCGGGACAGTTCACCACCCGTGGAGATGCTGGTGGGAAAATGCAGTAAGTGGGAGGACATTGCTTCTATGTGCCCAGGCCCTGTGTGTCTCTGTCCTGTGGGCACCGTGGTCTTATCCACCCGCACGGCCGGGGCCAGTAGGAGGAGACGCCATGACTCCCATGCCCATGGCCATGGTTCACTTCACTGAGATTTGACGAGGGGAATGGGAGGTTCTAGCATGAGAGGGACCTTGCCCCACAGGTAGGCCAGTAGGAGACCCCAGGGAATTACGGAGGATCCCATTCCCGTTTTCCTGGGGAAAGGTTTTCATTTCTCACTATTCAATTTGATATTGACTGTGGGTTTGTCATGCCAGGGCTCTTATTATTTTGAGGTATGTTTCTTTCATGCCTCGTCTGTTGAGGGATTTTATCGTGAAGGGATGTTGGACTTTCTTGAATAGATTATCTGCATCTATTGAGATGATCATATGCTTTCTGTTCTTAGTTTATTTCATGAGTCATCTTTATTAACTTGCATATATTGAGCCATCCTTTCACCCCTGGAATCAAGCCAACTTGAGCATGATGAATTACGTTTTTGATACACTGTTAGATTCTGTTTGCTAGTATTTTCTTGAGGATTTTTGCGTCTGTGTTCCTCAGGTTTCTTGGCCTGTAGTTTTATTTTTCTGTTGGATCCTTGTGTGATTTTGCTATCCAGATGATACTGATTTTGTAGAATGAACTAGCAAAGAATTCCACAAGCTTGATTTTCTGAAATACTTTCAGTATGATTGGCACCAGCTCTTCTTCGTACATATGGCAAAGTTCAACTGTGAATCCATCTGTTCCTGAGCCTTTTTGCTGGAAGACTTTTTAGTACTGATCCTTTTTCATTGGTCGTTATTGGTCTGTTTAGGGTTTCTATTTTTTGCCTGTGCGATCTTGGGAAGCTATATGTGTCTAGGAATTCATCCATTTCTCTAGGTTTCCTAGTTTATGTGCATAAAGCTGTTCATAGTAGTCTCTGATGATCTTTTGTATTTCTGTGGTGTTAGTTGTACTGTCAACTTGATCATTTCTGATTGTACTTATTTAAATCTCCTTTTTGTGATTAGTGTAGTCAGCCATCTCTCAATTTTATTTATGCTTTTAAAAAACCAACATTCTTTCACTGATTCTTTGTAATGTTTTTGTCTCCATCGCATTCTTTACCTGTCCTTTCTGAGTTTCCGTTGTTTTCAGCGTCCATTGCTAGAGAGCTAGTGCGATCCTTTGGTGGTGCCACAATATTCAGATTTTTCACGGCGTCAGAATCCTTGCACGGATTCCTTCTCATCTGGAGAGGCTGCCACTTACTCTCTTTGAATTTATTTTCATTTGGATGAGATTTCTTTTACACATTTTCCCTCCGGCCCCGCGGGGAGCGTGACTGCAGAGCATGTTGGGAAGGGTCTTTTGGTTTTTCCCATAGCCTTGGGCGCTTCTGCAGCAGGGTTTGTGTTGGGCTGTTCAGTTCAAATCGCAGGCCGGGAGCTGGTGCTTAAGGGTAAGAGCCACCCTCAGCACAAGCAGGTGCATATGGACCTGGCGTGTTTCCTGTGAGGTGCTGTCTGTCGTTTCAGGGGAAGGGCTGGACCGTGGAGTGTCCGGAGCCCTGAGCTTCCCGTTCCAACGGGGTGAGGGAACACAGCAGGGCAGAGCTGGAACCCCTGGCTTGCCCACGAATATCCTAATGATGAGCGCAGGCACCAGTCCTGATGGACATGGCTGGGGCAGCGCCTGGTGAAATGCCCTGAGGTCTCTGTCGGGGATGAAGGCGCTACATGCACTTCCAGTCCCGTAGGGAGGAACATTGTCTGTTTCCCTATCACACCCCTGCTCCAGGGCTCATGAGTCTCAGTTCAGACACACACTGTTGTCTCTCCCCAGGCCACGGTGTGGCTGGGAGCCGTGGGAAACACCCGCCTTGCCATTCTCTGCAGGCATGGTTCCAAGGCAGAGCCTCCTCCCTCAGCCCAGTGCAGACCCTGAGTGGCTGTCTGTTGTCTGACATGGCAGCTGCTTCATGTAGGTGGGATGTGGGGGATTCTGCGTCTCTGGATGGGAGAGTGGACGTCAGTTGTGGTGGTGTTGCTGGCTGGGTGGGCCCGACCTCAGGCCCTGGGGTGACTGGTCAGGTGCCAGCAGGGTAGGAAAGGGCAGGCAGTTCCTGGATTGCAGGCCCCTAGGTGGCCGGCTGGACAGTGTGTGCGAGTCCTGTAGGGGCTTGACTGGGTTTCGGCTCTTCCAGGCTTCAGATGCTGGCTGTGATGGGGAGGGCTGGGCTGGTCCCCAGGTCACAGGCAGAATTCTCAGGCGGGGCAGGCAGAAGGCTCAGGTGGTAGAGCCCGTGGGCAGATCACAGGCCTGTGGGGACTGGGCTCTCAGAAGGGCTGGGGGCTGCAGCCAAAATGGCCAGGTGGGGGCAGGGTGGCTGTGCTGTGGGCCTGTCACTAGGGAGGGCAGGGCCCCTCCACTGGGGCACTGGAGACTGGCAGCTGTGGGGCACAGGGTCTGCTCACACTGCCCTCCTGAAGAAGTGGCACTCGGTTTTGCTGTTGGGGACACGCGAAAGTGTCAGGCCTCTCCACACCTTCCCTGGGCCTGGGGCAGCCTAGGGGCAGAGGCAGAGGTGGCAGTGACTGCAAAAGGCTTGTCAGGGGCCTCTGAGCATTGGGCTTTCAGAGGGCACCAAGCCAGGGCCACGGTGTTCAGGTGGGGGCAGGACGGGTGCACTGGGGCCCTGCAGCTGGCAAGCCCCATTAGCAGGAAGGAATCGCCCGCATTAGGCCAGGAAGCGAGCCCCATCTTAGCGAGGAAGGAAGCCCCATTAGCAGGAAGGAAGCCCCATTAGCAGGAAGGAAGCCCCATTAGCAGGACACAACAGAGGTGGGGAGCTGTGTGGTGCTCAGCTTGGCTGTTCCTGTGCCCCAGCTGTCATATTGATTCTGGGGCCCACAGAGGTGCCTGGCCTCCTCCCTCCCTGCTAAGGCAGTGGCAGCTGGACCCAGGTTGCTCAGGGATCAGAAGCCTGTGGGACTCCATGTGGGCTCCAGAGGCGCCTCTGCACCATCTCCAGGAACTCCCTGTGTGCCTCTGCAGGCCAAGGGGGGTCAGGGGCTCTTCTGTGACCAGAATTGTAAAGGGCCAAGGCCGGGGTGTGGATCCCAGGGGCCTCACACCCACTCACCCTTTCCCTTTGTTAAGGAGCCTCTCACTCACCCCTTACCCTTGTTAGGGGGCCTCTCACTCACTCACCCCTTCCCCTTGCTAGAGAATCTCTCACTCGCTCACCCCTTCCCTGTGTTAGGGAATCTCTCACTCTCTCACCCCTTCCCTGTGTTAGGGAATCTCTCATCACTCACCCCTTCCCCGTGTTAGCAGCCTCTCCTGGCTCCCACCTTTTCTCTTCTCTTCTCTCCGTGTCCTCATGGTTCTCAGGTGAACCCCAGCGTCCTCTTGGAAGATCCACTTGACCTGTTGGTATTTACTCGCCATTTTGGGTCCTCTTGGTGAGTAGGCAGACTCCAGCCCTTTCCATTCAGCCAAATGGAACTTCAACCCCCAGTCATTTTCTTGTCACTTTTTACTCTTGGGAAATCCAGTCCCAATGTGTTTGTCTTTCATTTGAGAATAATTTTCATTTTCTCCAGTAATTTTAAAATTACTTTGTATCTATTCTAGGTATTGTTTGCTCTATCATAGTTAAGACATTAATGTCATTTATGAGTTTATGCACATTAAACTCATGTTCTTTCTTCATTTCTGTAAAAATGTCAACTTATTTCTTTGCAAGTATTTACTAACATACTCCTTATTTCCCTCATTCTGAAAGTGTGATCTATAGAGAGATATCTGTTTCCTCTTCTCATTCCATTTCTTGTGTGCATTAATTATTGTTTCTATTTTTTTCATTTCTAGTTTTTCTCTGATGACTAATGAAAAATTTCAATAAATATTCTATACCAATACAATGTTTATTGTTTCAGCTGTGTCTCATTCTTGATGAAATTATTTCTAACTGTGTTAATATAATTTACTATTTTTCACTTCACAATAGCTTCCTAATTCATTTCTATAATTGCCTGTTCTTTTCTCTAATGGATTGTTTGATTTTTATTCCTCTGGGGTGGGTTTTTCTCCCAACACACATGATCTTCCATACAGGGTTTCTCCCAGGGCTGACTCAGGAATGAAAACTGATGAGGGCATTCCTGTAGCCGCTCCTGCCCTGCAGTGTCCACGCTCCCAAGTTTTGAATCAGTTCCGTGTTATGCCCAGCATGGCGAGGTCCATGTGACCTTCACACTCAAGTGCCAGATACGCCCGGTCCAACAATGATAAAGCAAGTCTGTGTCGTGTGCACCCGGGAAGGTGGCTCAGTGTTGAGTGTGGCCTGGGTCACTGAGTTATCCCAGGGTCTGTCCACAAACACAAAAGACGGAGAGCCACAGTCTCTAAGGTCCCACAGTTTCCTCCACTTTTTTCCTTGTTCTGAGAGAGAGAGAAAGTGCCATGACTGCTCTGTAGGTTGGATAGATGCCTGTTTCCACCTGCAGGCTGGAAACCAAGCTGAGGTCTTGAGCATTCCCAAGTACTGATAAAGCACTTTAGGTTGTTTATAGAAAACACTGAAAAATTAACCCTTTTGCTAAAAATATAGAAACAAGCCCTCCCCTCAACCAAATTCCTGAAACTCTCAGGTTAAACTTCGTAACCCAGTGCCTTCACTGCAGACATCCAATAGGAAAGTCACAGGTGCAAGGATGGATGACTTTGGTCAAACTCAGACCCTATAGGGCCAGAAAGGCCTGAAGGAGAGGGGGCTCGTGCTTCCAGGTCTCAGATAAGAACTGATTCTAAGGACTTAAATAAAAAAAACCCCACAAGAAACACTTCCATGTCCTTCACCCCTCTCCTGCTTTGACAAGGTTTATCACTAGCTATTCTTTCGGACGTCAGGAATTCAGATAAGATGCTCTTGAGAGAACACTTGGCCAGCAATAGCATCTCCTCCAATGGACTGACAGCAACTCTGGCTTTGAACCTCTGGAACCAGAGAATTCTGTTTCTAGGCAGCTCTGTCAGCCTCTGCCTTGTTGCTGATAAGAACTTCCTCTACCTCTCTATGTACAGAGAGCTCTCTCTACAGTGCTTTTCCTCTACTCTCACATCACAGGAATCATCAACACAGAAGACTTCTAGGACCAGATGTGTGGGATTTTTTTTTCCCCAGACCCAGTAGCAAACAGCAGCTGGGTGTCCTCTAAGTCAACTCTGACGTTGTCTACCCAGAAACAGTCCTACATCCCACAGATTAAAGGCTAAGTCCCCAAGACTGTCCCCCACATCTTTCCCAAGTGTAGACCTCCAGAACTTCTGATCGACTGGCTTCAAGTTGGGGATCCCATGACCCCCTCTTTGGGTTTGATTAATTTCCTGTAGCAGCTCACAGAACTCAGAGAAACACTGACATTTCCCGGTTGAATACAAAGCACACTGCAGAGGACACAGATGAAGAGACACATAGCAGGAGGCATGGGGGAAGCGGCACGGGGCTTCCATGCCCTCCCTGGTTGCCACCCTTCAGGCGCTTCCACATGCTCAGCCAACCAGAAACTCATGAAACCCAGTCCTCTTGGGCTTTTATGGAAGCTTCATGATGTCAGTATTTCCTCCCACAAGGAACAGGGTGAGACCATCTTCTAGATGGGTCTTAAGAGCCACCATCAGAAAGGCAGGGAACATTCAAGTCTTGCCTTGGGCAGGTGAAGGAAGGGCAGAAGGAGGTCAGAGGCCTCCCCTAAGCCCAACACAGCCAACATTCTAACGAAAGACTGTAACAAGCGTTATGGGAGTTATGAACCAGGAACCGTGGGTGAAAACCAGCATATATCCCAACATCACACTTCCCTCCCTGGACGCACTGTGTCTTGCCATGCCATGCACTCCAGATTATAATCCCTGCTTCTCATTCCCAAATACACTCAAAATCCAGGCAGCCCTGGAGCAATGCAACCTTGAATTCCTGGGGTCTCTTATGTCCACACTTTTTTCAAACCAACGGGGATCAAAACTATTGCATTTGTGAGAGGCAAGACTTGTGTATATGAACAGCGGGCTTTTCCTATATGCAGGTCCAGCAGAGACAATGTCAGGGCTGGAGTACCAGGAAGTTTTGTTACGTGTAGCGGGTACTGAAACGAGTTGCCTGTGTATCCCAAGAAACAACTGTACTGAGAGATCGTATTCTCTAGGGGTTTATTTTTGTTTTTATTTTTATTTTAGGTTAAAGCTTTGGATAGAACACCCAGTGTCTCCTTGTCCACCTGAAGAACATGCTGCTATGTGGAAGCACATCCTTGAGATCCACAAGGAGACACTGGGCAAGGAGACAAGGATGCCTCATTCTATGGAAGTCTCCCTAATAAATGCTCTGTGAACACCCTGGTGTTTAGTGCTTCTTTCTTTGGAATCCCAGCAGCTCTATCACTGGACGGTTTGGTACACTCCTTTGATGGAACTCCTCTGGGCTGCTTGGGGTCCATTCGAGCCTCAGGTGTGGCTGGAAGATGCAGCCTTCCACCTTGGTCTGGAGCCCTGAGTCCCTCACTGTATTACAGATCCCGAGGTTCCTCTCCCGGCTCCACTCTGTGGGGAAACCTCCACCCTAATGAGCCCTTGATGGTCCCGGGATCCTGTGGCATCTCACCTCTGGCCTCTGTTCTTTCTTGTGGATCCTTCTACACTCGGGGCTTCCACACGTCTTTTTCTGCTCATGACATTGATGCTCTGGGTATTTCAGAAATGCCTGATGTACATTTCTCCATTAGGGTCAGATGTGACATCTTAAGTGGACACATCAATCACCT